TTCCGAAGCAGCATGTGGGTGCAGAGACTCGAGTGGTGCTGGCCTTCAAGATGAAGGGCAGCCAAGGAGGTAGGGATGGAGAGGTTTTCTAGGTTGGTGATAGCAGCGCACATGTGGACTAGAGCCTTCTCAACCAGGTTCAGAAATACGGGGAGAGACACGAAGCCATCCTTTTGGTCCCACCGGCACCACTGCAAACACAAGAGAGGCAGAAGTGGGAGAGCTGTAAGAGACTGAACGAGAAAAAGAGTAGCTGAATTTGTTTCATCTCTTGCTGCGCAGACATTCACATTCACATGGTTAGGACAAATGTTCAGAACTGACAAACTCACATTGTACATGGGATAGAGTGCACCATCCCACGAGTTTAGAGCTACAGTGCCGGGAAGCAAGAAGTCGTGCTGCAGTGTGAATGACTGCGCTTGCTGCTCCCATTGTGCGGCTTTCATCATTCGTGCACAAACATCTTGTCTCCATTCAGGAACCACCTCCTTCAGCCCTTGGCACTCCCTCCGTATCCACCACGGTCCCAGGTACGGCAGAACCTGCATCAGCTGCGTCATCAGTCCAAGTGGCACCAGAGGTGCTCGCTTCTCCTGCTGCTGCTGCTGCTGCTGCTGAAGCCTTGGCGGTACCATCTGGTTTCTCTGCGCCTCTTCCTCCAACTCCCGATGCAGCTCTTTGTTCCCCTCCACAACACATTTCTGCACGCAGTCACGTGCCCACTGCTGCATCATGACTCGCGATCGCTCATCCTCTCTCCACCGTGCCACCACAAACGCCAAGGAGCGGGGAAGAGGGCTGGTCACAGGGAAGAGCAGTGAGAGCAGCTGCAATGTCGCCTTCTGCTGTTCCTTCCAAAGCTCCACCTCCCCTGCCAACTGTGCTATGCCCCCTTCCTCAGCCGATCCTCCTGCTCCTTGCACCTCGTTGCCCTGTTCCCCATCCTGCTGCTGCTTCCTGCTCTTTCCTGCAAACTGAAGCAACGAATAAACTTCCACCAAAAGCTCCAGCTGCACATGCAGCTCTTTTGCTCGCTTCCTATCCTCCGCCTCCCCCTTCTCCTTCTCCAGCCACGCTCGATCCCTCACAACACCCCCCTGATGTGGCACACTCCCAGCCACACCCGCACTCGTTCCCCACACTGGCTCCCTCCTGCTGGCTGTCCCTTTCTCCAGAGATCCCAAAGCCTGTTGCATCACACCCGCACATTCCTGCACCATCTCACTCGCCTGCCTCGCCCAGTAGATAGCACCTGCCCTGGCTGCAGCCTCCCTTGCTACCTCCCCCCGTGTGCCCTGATTCGGCAGGTGGTTCACTGCTGGTCGCACAGTGTTCAGCCAATAAGCGGACGACAGTCCAACCAAAAAGGACTGCGCAGAGGAGGAGGCGAGAGCGTGCGAGGCTGAGTGGGAGGAGGAGGAGGCGGAGGCAGGGGAGGAGACGGAGAGCAGGTGGAAGGTGGCTTCTAGCCAGGGCGCATCTGAGGGTAGCTCTCTGCGCCTCTGCAGTCGCTGCAATGCCGATACCATGGCTGCAACTCTCTCACTCCACCGCCCCCACCACAGCTTCACCTCTCTCAAATCGGCCTCAAAAGCCAACTCCTCCTGCTTCTCCTTCTGTCCCTGCTCCTGCTGCTGCAACTGCTGTGGAGTTCCCAGGGTTGCCCCTTCCTTCTGCCATCCGGGTCGGAGAGGCACAGCTGGAGCTGCTGCTGCAGGCGATGCCCGAGAGGCAAGGTTCGCAACAGGCTTGGCGGGAGTAGGTAGTAGTGGGGCGGAGGGCGCAGCAGTTGAGCGAGAGAGGGAGGAGCTGGGATGATGAGTAAGAGAAGCTTTAGCCCGTTGGATGCTTAACTGGAGGCCCTGCCAGCTCACCAGCACTTCAGCTGCAAGACTCCTTACACCCAGCTCCCCCTCCTCCCCCTCCTCCCCCTCCCTCTCCTTCCCTTCCTCTGCTACCACCTCACCTTTCCCTGCCCCTTGATCCGACACAGATGCAGACACATTTTTCAGAGCGTTTTTCCCTACCTCCCCCACCATGCCCAGGAGTTCGCTTGAGCGGCAGCGAGTAAGCAGCTGCCACCATTTTTCTATCTCTTTCCTCAGCACTTCCTCCTTTCCCTCACGCCCTTGTGGACCTCCCTGAGCATGGAAACCCCGCAGCCACAACAGGGTAAGTACCTCTAGCCCCTCCCTCTCATCCACCTCCCCTTCCCCCCTCCCAGCTACCTCACCTTGCCCTTGCACCTCCACTTCAGCGGTACTCTTCTCCTCTCCTTTCTCTTCCCTCCCCTTCTTCTGCTCTCTCGTCTTCCTCTCCTTTGCCCACACAGCAACAGCTATCTCTAGAGCATCCATATCCTTCCCATCCACGTTCTCTTCCACTTGCTCCACCCTCCTCACTTCCTCTGCTGTGTCTGTCTTGACTTTCTCTTCCTTCTCTTCCTTCTCACTCTCCTCCGCCTCAGCCCTTCGCTCCCACACACTAGGAACAGCCTCACCCTTTCCTGCTTTAGCTTTCGCCTTCTTCTCCTCCTCCTTCCCCTTCTCCACCTTTTGTGCTTGCTTATCCTGCTTCTCCTGTTTCTCCAGCTTCCGCTCTGGGGCATTCAAAGGCCAGCCCTTGTTCCCACTCGCCCACATGCTAGCCACACGACCTGCACCCATCGCACACTCAAACGCCCGCCCCCACTCCTTCTGCCCGAGAAACATTCTTGCTGCCCCAACCATGTCCCCTTTCTTCAACATCATTTCAGCTGCCCGCTGGAAATTCCCCTCAGAGACCTCGATCTGGAGTAGATCATCAAAGAAGTCTCGCCTTTCCAAGAACTGCCGCTTCTTTGCTAGCGAGGGGAACTGCAGCACAAACCGCATCATCTCCCCCTTCATCTTCTTCCTGTAATAGTACATCGCTGCCTGCTGCAAAAACTCTGCGTTCTTCTTAGTAACTAGCCTATCCCTCTGCCTCCACTTCTCCTCCTCCTCCACTCCCAGCTGCTGCTGCTGTCCCTTGGCTGCTCCCATTCCCTCTCCCACCTGCCCCTGCCACACTTGCAGCAGCGTCACCCCGAGATTGTATAGCCGGTTCTGAGAGCACACCAGCAGCGCCCTCTCCACCTCCCACGCCTGTGCAAAGCACTTGGCTGCTTCCTTTGGGAGTGATGCCAGCTCATAACACTCTCCTGCTTTGACCCACATGGGCGGGTGACACCTGTCACGATACACATCGCCTGGTTAGGGCCGCAGGAGAAGGGAGGGCGTGGGGAGGTTGTGTGGAGGGAGTTAGAAACTACAAGAAACCATGAGCGCGGGGAAAGATAGGTGAAAGCAGAGAAAAAACGGGGATTACAGAAAACGGGAAGGGAGTGGAAGAGGGGTGGGGAGAGGGGCGGGGAATTCTAATAGCATATAGGTGAGTGGAATGAGCACCACTAGCAGAACAGACACAAATAACCCACTATCCCGTTCATTACCACACCACTCCCCTTCCTTTTGTCACCCCTCCCTCCTTCACACGCCTCCCCTTCTTCACTCTCACCCACCCCCCTCCACCGCTCCTCACCTGCTTGTTTCATCTTGCCCGCACTGATGAAGCACCGGGCGGCGTCCCTCGGCTTTTCCACCTTCAGGAACGCCTCAGCGGCCTCCTGAAACGTCTTGCTGGCTTTCTTAGGGTCAGTTCCCTGTAGCCTCTTGGCTGTCTGCTGTAGCAGCGCCGCCCGTGCCACTGCTGCACTGTGCTCGTCCCCTGCTCTCTCGAAACTGAGCACTGCTGCCTCAAACTGGGCTGCGTTGAACAGCTGCGGGAGAAGAGAAGGTCAGAATGGAGGGAGCGACAGACGGGAGAGGAAGAGAGGGGAGTGGGAGAAGGGAAGAGGGCAAGGGGAAATTGGAGAGGGTTGAAGTGTAAGGGCGAGAGATCGGGAGGGAGGGGGGAGAGGGGAGCAGGATGGAAGAGATAGATGGTTATGAAGGAACCAAAGTAAAACGATCAAATATAATTCAAAATTCCCCTGATCGTCCCGTGCCCAGCGCCCCTAAACACTACCAAGTGGCCTCAGAACCTACCTCAGTGCCCCTCTTATGCCACCCTTCCGGAGAGGACTCAGTGTGCATGGAAGTGAGGAGGTCAGGCGTGAGTGCTTTCACGGCCACCACGCCCATCGCCCCCCACAGGTCCATGGCCGGCCGTCTCGCCCCCTCATCCTCCTCGTATATCCACAGCCGCTGCCGCGCGCGCGTTAGCACTACGTACAGCTGCTTCAGCTCGCTGCACATGAGGTTGTGCCTGGAAGCGGAGGGGAATACGGAGGAGGGAACAGGGAAAGGAAGGGAGTGCAGAGACGATGTGAGGTAAGAGTAGGTGCATCCGGGGTAGTGGAAAACCTCTCTGAGAGAATCCACAAATTTCAGCCTTCTACAGTATTATAAAATGAGGTGCACTGCCCGAAATATGGTTCGGTTTCCGATATTATCTTAAGTGCCAGCGGTAATTGCAACACTCTGGAGAAATCCACAAAATCTGACTAGGCTCGCTCGTTCTTGGGGTCGAATCAAATCATGGCCACTGCTAGCAACCTCGAAACCCCAATCCTGGAGGATTCTTAAAGCCACCCACCGCTTGGGGTCGAAGGAGGGGCACTGCCAGCGACTAGACCCGTCCTCAGCGGAGGGGATGAGGGAGTGCTCGCGCATGTAGTGGTACAGCAGCCGCCAGCTCGACGCCATTGGTGATCCCGAGAAGAAGTTATACACCAGGGCGTCCTGAAGAGTGGCGGAGGGGATAGGGGGGAGAGGGGTTAGGTCCTAAGTGAGATGGGGTTAGGGAGAAATAAAAGATGTCGGTGGAAGGTGAGGGAGCGATAGTTTGAGCAATGAGGGTTACGCGATTCAGAGACTCGTGAACGCCAGAGCCAAGGGAGGAGGAGACGCATGGAAGTGCATGGTATGGGAGTCTTGTATCGTGTAACAAGAACGAGATCTCGCTGAATGGTGTACCTGGAACTCCAGCCCCTTGCACTCATGCACGCTGAGCACGAGTCCCTTTGACCCAATCCGCTTCACCAGCTCCGTGCGGCTCTCTGCATCTCGCACCAAGATCACCTGATGCACACACCAGGCGGTTCGCGGAAGGAGGGAAACAGCAGGGGGGTGAACATCAGATGATTCGGTCGGGAACATCAGGGAACATCAAACCCTTCAATCCATCATGACACCGTACCTGCTCGGCTCCGAATTCGCACCCGCCGCCACCAATCGCGCCCTTCTTCCCGAACAGCTGCGTCACCACATCATCGCTCGCCTTAGCATCCAGGAAAACCGGCGCCTCCCCATCGATAAGACTGAACTCCGGGGCAAGGCGGTCGACAGCGTGGGGGAAGAAGTGCAGCAGCACACGCACCACACTGTCTGCCAGACGCACTATGCCGTTGTGCGCTCGGAAGTTCTGCGAGAGGAAGAATAGATCTGGCATTTCTGTGCAGGAAGATCGCTCCTGTGCTCCGCCTCCGCCTGCCTTTGTTCCCGTCTCCCCCTTGTTCTGCTCTCCTCTCTCCCTTTCTGAGCCCTGTGCTGCACTGACGGTTAGTGCTGTCTCTGCTGTTGCTCCACCGCCCACCTCTTCGAGCATCCTCCTCCCCTTGCCAGATAGTTTCTGTTTCCCACGCGCTGCTGCTGCCCCTGCCCACCTCCCTTGCTTCTCCCGACCGCGCCCCTCCTCTGGCCCATTCTCCCCTTCCCCCGCACCACCAGCACCACCAACCCCATCCCCACCACCCTCCACCCCCTCATTCCCTACATCCCCCACCACATCCACCTTTCTCCCCAGAAACAGCTCATAAAACAACCTTCGGATGTCCTGAAACCGGAAGTCCACACCCCTTGCAATCGTCTGCGCCGTATCCCCCGCAAAAACAAAGCCATCCGAGGTATTCGCGCAGAGGAAGCGCAGAATGGCAATCTGCGCCTGGGTCAGATCCTGCACCTCGTCCACATACACGTACTGGAACGGCGGGCCAGATCGAACCTTGTCATCACCACCACTACCACGAGAGGTCATAGACCTGGTGGTGGTGGCACGAGAAGCTGCAGCAGTGCCAGCAGAGGCAGCTGCGGCAGCAAGAGCAGCAGGCGTGCAGATCTTAGTCGCTCCCTTCGCAAGCTCCCTATACACATGGTAGACATAGTCACACAGGTCATGGTCCCCCCTCTGCCGCTTCTCCCTCTCATACTGCAAGTACAACCCATAGATAACCTCTCTCTGCGCCTCATCGAAGCTTGACGTGCGGGTCTGAGCCAGAGCGACATAGTCTTCCTTCGACAGCCGCCCCCGGGGGGACCTGAGGGCGTGCAGGGAGCCTTTGATATGAGAGAAGAACTCTTTATAGACCAGGGATGCGTCTAGCTTGCGGGTGACTGTGGTGTTGAAGTGAGGCCAGTAGAGGGATTCGAATCGGTCATAATCCACCTCTTCAGGCAGAGACAGCACCCCAGCACCACCACTGCCACTGCCGCTGCCACTGCCAGGGCTAACGCCTGCAGCACTGCTGCTTCTGGCTCCGCTTGTGCCTTGCGGCCTGTCCCTGTGCCAGTGTGACTGATGGTACGCTGCGCCAAAGCCATCCTTTTCCTCGTCCTCCTCCTCCTCTTCCTCTTCATCATCCTCATCCTCTGAGAAATATTCGCTCCCATCATCATCACTTCCATCACCACCCGTCCCTCCACCACCCCCACCCCTGTAATCTTCCCCCCCTCTCCTCCACCCACCACCACCCGTCGTCCCCTTCCCATGCCACCCACCGGCCTTCAACCCACCATCCTGCTGGAACGGCCGTGCCAGCGTGGCATTGACCATGCTGAGAAGCTTCTTGAAGGTCAGCACCAGGGGATATGCATCAGGCTGCACCTCGTCTAGAGACTCGGGCAGATCTCCCATGAGCTTCTCCTCTGCTTCTTCTGAGAGTAATAGCTCCTCCACCTCCCCTGCCTCCCCCTGCTGCTGCTGCTGGTGGTTTTTCCCCCCCTGGGCTGTGGAGGGAGGTGCGGTGCTGGCAGGGAGGTCGGAGTCTGCTTCCAGCATGGTTCTGGTGGACACAAGACACACGGAGGGAGGGATGCACACGTGGTTGAGTGTGAGCAAGAGTGTGAGCAAGAGTGTGAGTAAGAGTGTGAGTAAGAGTGTGAGTAAGAGTGTGAGCAAGAGTGTGAGCAAGAGTGTGAGTAAGAGTGTGAGTAAGAGTGTGAGTAAGAGTGTGAGCAAGGGCGTTAAGGGGACGGGTGTGAGGGAAGGAATGATTCAGATTGGGTTGTGAGGGCCGGAGAAGAATAGATGAGAGGGTGGCAGAGACCTGGGAGAGAAAAAAGTTGAGAACAGGAGGATGGGGCGGGCAGAAGAAGGAACGAAGGGAGGGGGCGAATATGGAGCGTGGGAAAAGCTTCCCCATTCCCACCCAGTCACACCAACTCCATCCAGTCACACCACACCAGCCCCACCGAGTCACACAATCCCTCCCCATCAAGACACACAGCAGCACGGCATTCCAGGCGACTCACCGTCTGACTTTATGCACATGGTGCCGAATCGCAGCGCACAGCCGCGGGCTCAGAGTCACAATCACCTGCCTCAACGTCCCCACGCTTCTCCCCTCCCCGCCCTCTCCCCCTTTACCTCCCTTCTTCTCATCACCCACCGCCTTCCCCCTTCCTCCCTCCCCACCCACCTCTCCTCCCCTGCCACTCCCCATCCCAATCCCCACAGCAGGACCCAGCCGGCCCCGCTCCCCCATGGCTCGCAGAAAAACCCGCTCCAGGCGCAGCAAGCGGTGGGTAATGATGGTGGTCTTGCCGGTGCCGGAGCGGCCGAGCACGAAGAGGCTCCCCGGGTAGTGCACGATGAGCGCCTCCTGCTCGTTCACCTCGAAGGGCAGCTCGCCCTGCGCTGCTGTGAGTAGTTGGCGCACGGAGCCCAGGGAGAGCTGGTAGAACTTCATTAGAAGGACGCTCTCGTCCACTGGCGCTCGCTCCAGGGCGCTCTCTGGTGGGCGGGAGGGTGGGAGGGTGGGAGGGAGGGGTGGGTAGAAGGCAGGGGCGGAAGGGCGAGGAGGGAGGAACAGGGAGGGGAGGAAAGGAGGGAACAGAGGGGATGGGAAGAGGGTAGGTGAGGGTAAAGATACAGTACGGAGAAGAAAGTGAGTGGACACGTGAGAAAGAGACGAGAGTAAGTGGACACATGGCGGGGGAAGGGCAGGACAGAAGGAAGACATGATGAACCAAAGGAAAAAACCCAGTGCGGCGGACACGGAACAGTTTCCTTGCTCACTGGACCTTTGTAACCACCTGAACGAACCAATCGTACCTGTATCAGGAGCAGCTGCCACATCGCGTGGCGATGCCTTGGCCCTGTGCCATGTAAAACCTGGATCTTTCGGGAACTGCAGCGGCTGCACCCTGCGAGCGAGGCGGTCGTCACAGCGTGCACAGCGGTCCAATGACTCATCAGAGTATGTGCCAAGGCCGCCCTCCAGGCGACGCAGCCACTTGAGCACATTCTGCTCCTCCACCACATCCCACACCCGGATGATCTGCACCGTGGTGAGGAGAGGAGGGCAGACGAAGGGTGGGGGGAGGGAAAGGGCACGGGGAAAAGAGGGGCTGATGCGATTGTAGTGACCTTACCACTTGAGCACATGCTGCTCCTCCACCACGTCCCACACTCGGATGATCTGCACCGTGGCACCGTGGTGAGGAGGGCAGACGAAGTATGGAAGGAAGAGAGCAAGGGGGAAAGAGCAACTCATGCAGGTGTTGTGATGAGCAGATATGGAGGACGAGAAGGTTTGTTCTCACGCGTGAGGTGCACACAGAAAAGCATAAGAGATAAGAAAATGGTTTCGAGAGCGTGGTGAAAACCAGGAAGAGAGATTGAGAGAGAGCAGAGCAGTGACCTGTTTGTAGGTTGTGCGAGAGACATCAACGGTCCAAATGAGCTGGTATCTCCCAACAGCCTGCACGTGAATGATGTCATAGTAGCGTGGGTCCTTGAGCTCGTGCCGCGGCCTCGTGCATCGCTGCGGCCTGTGACCGCCCATGAGGCGCCTCACTGCGTTGATCACGTCTAGAGACCGCAGCTCCCTCATGCTGCGTTGGAACTCCAGGGAGAAGGTTGCCTGGTGGTGGGGAAGGACAACGAGCAACGGTTTAGAGTATCAAGGTTCAATTTAGAGCCAAGATTCACCTGTTCTGCTCCCCCACATACATCCCCACGTATCTCTTCCCCTGAATCACACAATCCCTTGCCAAAACGCCTCCCTCACTCTCATACCACATCTCACCTCCCCCCCCCCCCCCCCCCGTGGCTCACCTCCCAGATGAGCGAGTCCCAGAGGCCCGAGTTGGGCAGCAGCAGCTGCTCCACCTCGCCCAGCTCCATCTGACGCCTCTCCACCACTCTGCGCAGCTTTGCATCGCTGTGTGCCTCCACCAGGCACCCGCGCTGCTGTGCGTCCACTAGCAGGCGCTCCCACGTGGTGTCGCCACGCTGCAGTGTTTCCCGATCGCCCACCACCCACATGCAGTAGCGCGCCCTCGTTATTGCCACGTTCAGCCTGGGAGGAGGGACAGAGGGGGGAAGGGGGGATGGGGGGAAACAAGAGGGAGGGGGGAAAGGGAGAGGGGGAAAAGGAGGAGAGGTCGGCCCAGCGTGCAGAGGGACAACACGTACTCGGACAGCAACCACCCACTCCTGCACGCCCATGACTCACCACCGATCACCCCCCGCCCATCGCCCCCCCACATCATCACCCACCACCCATCTCCCAGACTCCCACCACCCATCAACCCCCCACCCCATCACCCACCACCCATCTCCCACCACCCATCATCCCTCCCCTCATCACGCGTTGCCCATGACCCACCGCCTGGTATCGGACACGAATCCAATGCTGCCGTTCAAGTTGGAGCGCACAGTTGTGACAATGATCACGTCGCACTCCCTGCGCTTGAACGAGGTGACTTTTGACTCGACTCAAAACTTCCCTACTTATCACCCCCCACCCATCACCCACCGTCTTGCATCGGACACGAATCCAATGCTGCCGTTCATGTTCGAGCGCACAGTGGTGACAATGATCACGTCACACTCGCGCCCCTGAAACCCGTCCACACTCTTCACCTCCACCACCAGGTGCGGCCACGACTGGGACTCCAAGGCCCGCTTCAAGTACTCCACTTGCAGCGCGTATGGCGAGATGAGACCCACTTTCATTGGCGAGCTACCTGTGCGCGACCCTGCTTCTGCGCCTTTGCAGGCTGTGAGTATGGTGTGGGGGGGGGGCAGGGAGAGATGTGTGAGCGACAGGGGGGTTGAGGACGAGATTTCTGGCCGTATCTGGTATAGCATAGAAGCAGAACCATCAGAGCAGAGAAACGCAGAGAATAGCAGCAACAAGCAGAGTAGAGCACACAAGTCGCACCGTCAGAGAGTCGTTTGAGCAGCGCGAGCACCACCACAGCCTCCACCGAATTCGCAATACTGCGAGAACCACCCTCCACCGCCCCCACGTCCCTCTCCTCCTTGCCCTTCACGTGCATGAACATGTACGGGCCAAATAGAGGCTCCAGGTGCTGTGGGCTGTGTGACGGGCGGCACACGTTGGCCCCATCCTCGATACGCCCCTCGTAGAAGCAGTGCGAGGGGAAGCGGCTGATTTCGGGGTGCATGCGGTACTGCACGCTGAGCATGTGCACCTCCCACCCATTGCCCTGCAGCCGCTCGAACAAGCTGCGGTTGTAATGGCCCTCAACTGCTACCTGAGAATGATAGAAAGAAAAACAAGAACGAAAGGAAGATGGGCTCAGACACGAAGCAGGAGGAGCGACCAGTGCATCAAAACATGCAGGGGCTCGTGCTGTAAAAGCAGAGCATGGATTCTCCTCCCTCCCACCGCTCACTCACTCACCTTGCTCAGAACAGTGGCTGGCAGCTGCTTGGGATCGCCCACGAGCACAGCATAGCGCAGCCCCTTGGTCTGGAGGGCCACCACACTCTCTGCCTCCACCAGCTGGGCTGCTTCGTCGAGTAGCAGCAGCGGGAAGGGGGTGGAGAAGCGCAGGAGAGGGCGCGCAGAGGAGGAGACGGTGGAGAGGACGAGCTTGGCGTTCTCAATGCAGACTGCAGCCACTGTTGCGAAGGTGGGAGCACCGGATAGCCTCGGGATGCTGTAGGCTGGGCTTTGAGTTGAGATGTGACGGAGGCAGTTGCGTATGGAGAGGAAGAGTGATCGAGCTTCAGTAGGTGTGATGGTGCTCGTGGTGGTGCTTCTGGTTCTGCTAACGCTCATGCTCCTTGCAGCCCGAAGCATCCCCATTCGGCTGCTGCTGGTGGTGATGGTACTGGTGGTGCTGGTGGCGCTGGTGGTGGTGGTGGTGCTGCTGCTGCTACCATTTGGAACAGTGCTCATAGCAGAATCACCATCCAGCCCACCCGCAGCACTAACACCAAGACCAAGCAGAACAAAGGCTGTCTCAACCACTTCCTCCACCCCCCCTTCCTCTCCTGCCAGTCCCCCTGTACCCTCCAGCCATGTCTTGAGAACAGCGGGAGTCAGACCAGCAACCCTCACCAGCTGTCGTAGTGCTGCCATGAGATCAAACGCCTGGAGAAGCAGCAGCCGTTGATTCTCAGGAAGAAGAGCAGATGGAAGGTCTTCTGCAAGATTCACTGCTGCCTCCATTGCAGGCTGGGTCAGGAAGTCAATACGCTTCTGGAGGTAAGCTACAAGGGTCGGAAGTGGGGCAGCCTTCTTCGGACCTTTCTTGTCGATCCCGCCCCTGCCAACGTCGCCTGCAAAAACAGCTTCTTTTTTCCGCCGCTCCTCCTCTGCTTCCAGCTCGGTTTGAAACTCCTGGTTGAGCGCTTCCCATGAGATATCCAGAAAGGAAAGCAGGCTTGAAAAAGACGGCCTCCATCCAGTTAGAAGGGAAAGAGCTCCTACCAGCCTCCCAATTCGACCACTGAACGTGCTTTTCCCACCGCCACCCTTCCTCTCGCTCCCCACCAGGATCATCCCCAGCTCAGGATCTATCTCCAGCCTATCTTCATTTGCAACCAGGGCTATATCCCCAACCCTCAGCTTCCCTCCTCTCACAAACGCCATGGGAACATCTCCCCTTCCGCCCCATCCGTTATACTGCTGCTGCTGCCCGTGGCAGTACCCTGCAAACTGAGAGGAGGGATCGGAGAAGAGCGCGAGTCGGAGCATTCTTCGGCCCACTTCTGCCGCTGCGACGTTGGTAGGTGCGCAGACGAGCGTGCGCACGCCAAGGGAAAGCACGATGGAGAGGAGAACGGAGATAGTGTGCGTCTTCCCTGTGCCCGGCGGGCCCTGCACCAGCTGCAGCAGTTTGCGAGAAACGGAGGAGTAGTTGTCGAGTGGCGAGGAGAAGGACGAGAATTGTGAGGAGGAGGAGGAGGAGTAGGAGGGGAAGGCTGAGGAGACGAATGGAGAGGAGGCAGCAGAGGAGAGGAATCCACGGAGGCAGGCAAGAATGGCTGCCTGCTGTGGGTGGTTGAGGCCGCGCGCATGGCAGAAGTCCCCCACGGCTTGCAGGAGCTCCGGAACCACGTCGGGAGCTATAGTGATGGCTGGAGGCAACGTGCTCAGAATTTTCTGCTCATCACACCAAAGGGTAGCAACGGAGAGGAGGGTTGAATGCAAAGGGAAGCAGGATTTGATGAGTAGAATAGAATGCAAGCAAACAGTGTAGGGGCTGCCACGAAGAAAACTGGCGCCACTGGTTCTTGGAGTTTTACACAATATTCTCTCTATAAACCAAAACCAAACAACAGAAACCATCACAGCAGCAACCTCACCTCTCTTGCTTCTTCTGTGATACGCATCTTTCCACCCCTCCTGCCGGCCCCCTTCTCCGAACACAGCACCTCCTCCAGCATCAACTTCATCATCCGATCTCTCTCCGACCCCTCCATCTCGCTCCACTCCTCTTGCCCCAGATACCCATGCAACGCATCCCAGATGCGCTGAGGCGTGGCGAATGTATCCAGCAGAGTCACATACCAAGTACCCCCCCCCTCTGCACCATCCCCCTTATCACTCTTCTTCCGCACTAAAGCCTCCTCCAGACCTTTCAGCTCTGGAGACTCTTTTGGAAGAAAGATCTTCGCCTTGAAGTAGCTGCTGCTCCCGTCTCCGCCCCCCCCACCACCCTCCTGTCCTCCGTCTTGTCCTGGAAGAGAAATGCCCTCGGTCACGTTCCTGTCAGGAAGCAGAACGCCGAGAAGATACAGCACGCCTGCACGCAGCAGATCGTTGGGCTCGGTGGGAGCAACGGTGGAGAGAAGCACCACATCTGTAGGCTTCAGTTTCACTCCTTCGAACCAGCTGCCTCCTCCGCCTCCTGACGCTGACCTGTCACGAGCCAGCTTCTGCCTGTCCACCTCGAACACCACCGCACCAAACCGCCCCGTATCCGAGTGCACCTTCACCGGCTTCCTCTCCCTCCTTGCTCCCCCGAACAAATAACTTCCATAGACGTCCTCCTCCTCACACCAATCACTGCCGAAAACATCTTGCCGGCCCATGTCATACCCACCCTCCTCCCACTCGTCCTCCTCATCATAATCATCCGCGCCAGCCACATATCCATCCAGTCTCTCCACCTTGTGAATGTCTATCTGCATGGGAGTTGAAGCGGACAGCTGACCCAGGGAGGACTTGAGGCTGGCGCGGCACTCCTCCACCAGGGGCCAGCGGAAGGCCGACAGGTACGAGCGGATGTTCGGGAACTTGTCTGGTATAGGTCGGACCTGAGGGGGTGACAGGTCACAGGGGTGTGGTTATTGTAACACAAATATATTGTTGCAATGAGTATCGTTAACCGAGTTAACAAAACAAAACGGTCTGTTCGAACGAACTGCGCTGATTGCACCAATTGACTTCACTTAATCTCGTGTAAGAAATCAGGGACAATACTAACGTAAGGAAAGAAAAAAACAACAAATCTTTTGGTCTCTATAACAGTAAAGGGGCCGTGTGCTGTTATGCTCTCACCTTCCTGACGAGCAGGTAATCATTCATGATATCCGGCACACTCCATTTCAGCACGTGCTGCTCCAGCTGCAGCACCCTCCCCACCTCCCTCGCCTCCTCCTCCGTCAGGACCTGCACCGTCCTCCCCCTCGCATCCCCCGTGCCCGTGCACGTGAGCTTCTGAAACAGCTCCTTGTCAGCCGGCACTCGGCGCACGGGCACGCGCAACCCGGTCGAACCGAACAGCTTGAACACATAGAGACGGCGGTTGTCCAGGGAGAAGAGCAGCCCGTCCTGCTCCACCACTCGGATTGGGGGGAAGTCTTCAATCTTGCTCCTCCCCTCGTTGAGATCCCGCACGGCATCGAGGACGGTGTACTTGCTGCTTCTGGGCGCAGCTGCAGCAACGCGTGCATAGCTGACGGGAGGCAGAGGTTTAATTCGTGAACAAGAGAGAAGAGAATCACTGAGGACTAGAGAGCAAAGAAACATAAGGAAATCATATTCCAGTTCGAAGATACTACAATCCTAATTTAGGGGAGTGAGGGGACCTCTAGAATGCTTATTGCCCCAACAAATGTGGAGTCAGAAGGCCCATTAACGCGCCCCTACAAGAGGCAATCAGATTATGCATACCTCTTCTGTTCCGGTGCTGCATCCGCGACAGCCTTGGCTGGCGGGCGTGAGAACGCCTCGCATATAGTTGACTGACTGAATCGAATCTGAGATGCTTCCAGCCACTCCACTTCAACCTCCTTCGCCTTTGCCGCTGTTGTGCTTCCAGCGGCATCACCGGAATCAAGGCCGCCCTCGGGAGATTCATCAAACGAGCTGGATTCAACGGGGACGAGAGCTGGCAGTGGCGCTTGTTGTGGCCTGAGAGGCAGATCGGCGCAAGAAAGGAGGGCGTGATTCACAGAATAGACAGTGGGGAAATAGCTGTCTATTTGAACCCTTTTGGAACCACAGAATCTGATATGTTGCACCTGGAAAGCGCTTAGATAGGACTCGTAAACCAGAGAGCTGACAGGATACGAGGCGTCATGAAGGTGGGTGGAGTCACAAGCAGCACACACGTAACTAGTATGCACGTTAAATTTCACTAGTATGATAGTATCCGCTTTGGACCGGAATTCTACAACATGAAAGCCCTTCTGGAGGATGAGGAGTGGTACCTTGGTTGCAGCCTCTCTTGAACCACGTTCCAAAAGTCTGGATCAAACTTCAGAGAAGCCATGGATGCCTGTCCCACGCGAAAGGGATGAATATAGCAGTAAGAATCTAAGCGAACCCAGCAATGTCAAAGAAACGCCGACTTCGAGAACGGTTTAGGATACAACATCGCCCTCGCGTGGAGCGCCTGAGGCAGGAAAAGCGCCCCTGAAGGCAAGCAGCGAGAGTAAGGCGAGATGAGGGCGAGACGAGCCGAGATTATAAAGAAATCCAGCCTGATTGCGACGGCGGGACCACTCGAAGTCGATGCATGAAAGGGATCTGCAAGGGCTAGCCTAGACTAGAACGATTGCCCACGCCGGCACGAACTTCCGCCTATGGGAAGGATAACTTGGACGCTGAGTGGGACTTGACATGTCACGAGATCATCATGATAAGCTCGCGTCTCCAGAACAAAGATTTGCTGTGGACCGTTGATGCTGCACGAATTGGGACATCACGGTCAGCCAGGTGGATGTGCGGCGGGAGGAGATAACCTTGGGACCAGCGGCGGGTCCCATGGAGATAGATGATTCCGCATGTATAGGTGGGGAAGGAAGATATTGCGAATGGCTGTTGCTTGGTGGGGTCGCCTCGCTCCAACCAAGTGCCATCCGGACGAATTCAAATTATTAGGGGGTGGCACTTACAACGTTCCCGGTTGAGTCAATTGCACGACGTTTCAAGTGTCTTGATTCACGAACATCGTCAGATTCTTCGCGACACCTTCTGGAGCAATGACTAGCGCGAGACATAGTGCGGATGGTGAAGTACGTATACCAATCGAGTGCATGCCACACGAGGCCAAAGTGGATGTTGTCTCAACAGATTCGCATTGTCGTGAGCGAATTCCGATCCCGTGTAATTGAATGGGGCGGCTTTCAGGTGTAATTGAATGGGGCGGCTTGCAGTTCATTCACAGACGACATTCCCAGGTTTCAGCGGAAAACAATCTCAAGGCGTGAAGTAGACGTGAAACAGCTGTGACCCGTGTATCCTCTAAAAACGTCTCAAGTAAAAGTTAAAAGCAGCCTCGCTGTATGGTCTGCTATATCTAGACAAGGAACAATAGGAGTCTCATGATGTTGGTCCTTATGTCGTTATCATAAGATGCTGCTATGGTAAATGACTACAAAGCATACATATCTGGTTCCAGATCCAGACTTATGCATGTTAAATTGAGCCACCTTCGCTTATGCCTTGACTGCAAAATGCAATATGACCAAACCAAATCATATTACCGTACGTGTTATGAGTTGTAAAAGAGAGTGCGCAGGTAAACGAATAACAAGACTGTGACTGAATGAACTGAGAATACAATGAATGCACAGACTAATGTAGGGCTAGCCTAGCTAGGAGGAAACCTCGGACGAGCGAGATTGGGTGCAGGTTTGGCAATGGAAATGCCGAAGGCGACGCGAGGAGCCTCGGCAGCGTTGAAATCGGCCGAACGTGCGAACTCCGAAAATCGGGTTGTACGCGAAGCAGTCAACCCCGATAAGGAATTCGGGAAAATTCCTTACACCACCCCCCCCCCCCCCCTTAAGAAAGGCGGTCAATATCCGAAACACGCCTTCGCGCCAGGTAATCACCAACAAGTGGCGAGGCGTCAGGCGAGGCGGATGGCACCCACGTGTCGTCCTCACTGGTGCGGTCAGTCCAGCGAATTAAGAAATCCACGTGTCGGCCAGCTGCGTCAAGGCGGACCCGATGAGCGAGGATTTTGGAAGGGTCAAGGGTCGGCTCCGGGACAGGTCGTGCTGTCGGGGCAGCGTGCTGACGTGCGATGTCGGTCGTTGCTGGCACGGACTTTCGAAGAAGGCTGACGTCGAAGGCGTCATGAATGCGCCAGTCGTCGGGTAGCAACAGCTTCGCGGTGACAGGTGTCACCATCTTGAGAATCTTGAACGGTCCGCAAAATCGTGGCCGTAGTTTCGATGGACCGGGCAGGTGCAGGTTCTTCGTGTCAAGTAGCACTAGTTGCCCAGTTGTCAAGACGAGTTCCCGTCGGAGAAGGTCGGTGTATTTGCGGGAAGTAATATTCGCCTTGCGAATTGCGTCTGCGGCTTTTTCTCGGACTTCCTGAAGTTCCGTCACGAAAGTCTGTGACCTCGGGACCGGATTGTCGAGAGTAGTTGCCGTAGGAACTGTCGGGTCCATCCCGTGATTCAGGAAAAATGGGGAGTGATTAGTCGTGCTGGACGGTGCATTGTTGAAAGCGAATTCCAACATCGCGAGCAAGTCTTCCCAGCGGGCAGGGTCGGGGCAGTTTGTCCTGATCAGCTGCTCCATGGTCTGTTTGGTCCGCTCGGTTTGACCGTCCGTCTGTGGGTGATATGCCGATGAGAACTGTAGCTTCGTGCCGTACTGCGCCCTCGTCTCCTTCCAGAACTTGGATGTGAACTTCGGGTCTCGGTCGCTGATGATCGCCGAAGGGATGCCGTGCGGTCGCATGACCGTTGAGATGAAGAGGCGCATAGTTTCTTCGGCTGTGATTATCGTTCGGCATGGTGTGAAGTGCGCCATTTTCGTGAAGCGATCGACGACGACGAAAACAACGTCGTTGCTGGACGGCCCAGCTGGCATCCCCGTGACGAAATCCATCGTCACTTGCTGCCACGGTCGTTCGGGTGGCTCGAGGGGTTGCAGCAGCCCAGCTGGTTGCTGACGTGTCGATTTCATTGCTTGGCACACCCTGCATGAGGACACATAGCGCTGCACGTCGTTAGATGAATCAGGCCAGTAGTATTGACGGTGCAGTAGTTTCTGGGTTTTATCAACCCCGAAGTGTCCGGAGAAGTTCGAATCGTGGATTCCCTGAATGAGAAGTTCACGCAGCAGTCGGTAAGCGAGAACCCAAATCCAGTCGGTTCTAGCTTTTAGGTAATAGTCCCCTTTCTGCGTCGTAGCATGCTGATGATTTCCCGTCGTGAAGAATGGGTCCGTCGTGTAGCCGTGGGTAAATAGTCCGGTAAGTAACGGTTCGAGTGGGTGATGAGTACTGCAGCGGATTGTACTGTCGGTCGGGTCAGGGCGTCGGCGATATTATTAGCCCCTTTTTTGTACGTGATGCGGTAGGTGAAGTGGCTCTCCATGTAGTCCAGCCACCGAATCTGTCGTGGGTTGAGGTTGGGTTGGGCTCGCAGGTACTGTAGGGACTTGTGGTCTGTGCGAACAGTGACGTCGGCGCCCACCGGGTAGCATCGCCATAATTTAAACGCGTGTATGATGGCGAGCATCTCCTTGTCGTGGATCGGGTAGTTGCGTTTGGCTGCCTGCAGCTTGCGTGATTCGTAGGCTATCGGCTGCAACCCGTTCCCAAAGTCTTGGAGAAGCACAGCTCCGATGGCGAAATCTGAGGCGTCGGTTACAACTTCGAACGGCTTCGATGGATCGGCGATGCGCAGCACAGGAGGGGAAACGAGGAAATTCTTGAGTTCCTGGAAAGCCGCTTCTGCCTCCTCCACCCACACAAAATTCCTGTCCTTGTGCAGCAGGTCGATCAGCGGGCCGGTTATCCCCGCCATATTCGGGATAAACCGCCGGACGTAATTCACGAATCCGAGAAAACTCTGGAGTTCCGTGACGTTCGTCGGGGACTTCCACTCCTGTATGGTCTTGATTTTCGCCGGGTCGATTTTAATGCCGTCGCGCGAGATTACGTGCCCCAAAAACTCCAACTCCTGCTTAAAAAACTCGCACTTAGAGCCCTTGGTGATGAGTCGGTTCTCCTGCAGCCACTTAAACACTGCATCCAGGTCGCGGAGGTGCTGCTCTCGTGTCTTGCTAAAAATGAGGATATCGTCCAAGTAGACGATGACACACCGGTCTAGAAGATCCCGAAAAAACCCTGTTCATGGTCAGTTGAAAAGTCGAAGGCGCGTTCGTGAGGCCGAAAGGCATCACTGTAAATTCGTAACTCCCGTAGCGTGTGCGAAACGCAGTCTTGTAACAATCGTCGGCGAAGACTCGAATCTGGTGGTATCCGCCACGTAAGTCAATCTTCGAGAAATATCGAGCGCCGCGAAGTTGGTCAAGGAGGTCATCGGTGCGTGGGATTGGGTAGCGAGACTTGATGGTGACCCGGTTCAGCGCGCGATAGTCGATACACATGCGAAGCCCGCCGTCCTTCTTCGGGGTGAACAGGATCGGTGCTGCGAAGGGAGATGTGCTGGCCCGAATGAACCCTTTCTCCAACAGTGCGTCAATTTGACTTCGCAGCTCCTCGAGTTCCGGCTGGGTCAACCGCCACTGTGTCCGAACAGTCGGCTGCGCGCCAGGTTCCAGCTGGATTTTGTGGTCCTCAGGTCTCTCGGGTGGTAGTCCAGGTGGCAGGTCGTCGGGGAAAATGTCCGGGTACCTCCGAATCAGCTCCGCTAAATCCGGTGGTACAGCTGCACATAGCTTCTCGATGTCCTTTCCGTCGGTGTCAACCGCCAGCTCGCGTAAGCAAACAGCGAACAGTTGCGCGCCTCTGTTAAAGTGGCGAGCTATAGTGATAGCTTTGACGCACGGGGCTTGGATGTAGTCAGGCGTCCATGCAGGTAGTTTAATTAGCCCCTCGTGCTTGTTGATGCTGCACGATCCCGTTGTCCAGTCGATGACGGGGTTGTGCCGTCGCAGCCAATCACGTCCTAGCAGCATGTCGCAGCCGTCCAATGTTGTCGCAAGAAACTTCATGCTGAAGCCGAAATCGTCGCCGCATTCGATCATGACCGTCCATGTTTCTTCCGTTATCGCCAGAGGCGTCCCATCCACGAGGCGCGCGTCAATTTCGGGCAGACACCTGTCAAGTTGCAGCTTGCATTTTTTTGCGTTCGCCAAGTTGAAGAGGCTATGGCTGGCCCCTCCATCGACGAACATTTTCAAGTTATTTTTTAACACCGTGCCAGCGACCAGCACAGGGTGATCCACATGTCAAAATATGTTTACATATTTTATATAATCGTTTGCAGTTGAAGTGTAGATATTGCATCATGTTTGGTGGTGCACCTCCTTGTGTTGCTGTTTACCTATTTGTACTTGCTATTCTCATTAGTGAACCCCTCTTTTGGCTTGCATTTCCTCTCGACATTTTCCTTACCCTCGAACTTCACCACTAAGTCACTTAAACCCATGGCTCCTAAGCCTACTAAACTCTAGTATCTTGATACCACATGTGTATCCCCGTTATTCGGCCGAGTGCGATCGATTGCATGAATCGGAACCACGACTCGGTGGGGATGGTGGGGTTCGGGCGGCGGTGTCAGAGGTCCACTGGTGATCCCCGATTGATCCTAGGGAAGGGTTACAGGCACGTTGGCCTGGGGGGTTATGGGCGCACTGACCCGCTACTTAACAAGCCCTTTTATCCCAATGGTCTAGTGGTTGGGATTCTGACATGGTATCAGAGCGAAGGTCTCGGGTTCGAATCCCGGTGTATGCACTTCAGGCATCCCAGTGCGGGGGGGTGTCAGAGGTCCACTGGTGATCCCCGATTGATCCTAGGGAAGGGTTACAGGCACGTTGGCCTGGGGGGTTATGGGCGCACTGACCCGCTACTTAACAAGCCCTTTTATCCCAATGGTCTAGTGGTTGGGATTCTGACAGACGGAGCACAGTCAGTAAAGGGCCCGCTAATTACTGACTCTTCCCATTTCCCTGCTCCTTCCTGTTGTTCCCCGTCAGCGGCGTTTTCTCGTGGCAGTCTCTCATGTAGTGACCCGTCTTCCCACACCGGTAACACGGTCCCTTAGGAGGGCGGTCGGGTGTATGGACGGCGTTGATCGTGGCCCGATGGGTCTGGCCACGAAAGCGGTTTCCCTCCCGGGAAGCTGCTCTCGCGTACTGCATCAGCGCATCTGTAGACTCCGCCAGCCGTACTGCTGCAAGAAATAACGTCGGGCGGCCCCTGCGAACCTCGTACTGTATCTCGTATTTGAGGCCGCTGATGTACTTATGTAACCGCTCAGCTTCCGACATGTCATCAACTTGGTCGGCGAGGCCCATAAATGACGCCGTGTAGTGTTGGACAGAAGCCATCTGCGACCATGCACGCAACTGTCAAACATTGTATATGTTGTTGTAGTTGTTTAGGCTACAGTGGGTTAGCCTATAGGGGGTACACATTCCTAGGTTTTCATACTTGTACTCATTTTCACTCTTAGTTCATTCATTCTTGTTCAACATGGTATAGAGCAGGTCCTTCCTAGGACCGATTTTTTAGGGCCCACCACTACCTACCTACCTACTTGCGCCCTAGGGCGCCTCGGCTTTCACGCCCCTAGAGGCCCCGTCGGCCCCGCGCTCTCGCACCTAGAGGCCTCGGTCGGCCCCGCGCTCGCTTTTAGAGGCCCCGAATCGGCCCCGCGCTTACCCCTAGAGGCCCGCGTCGGCCCCGCGCTCGTCCTTACCGGCCCCGATCGGCCCCGCGCTCGTCCCTCACGGCCCCGATAGGCCCCGCGCTCGCCCTTAGAGGCCCACGTCGGCCCCGCGCTCGCCCTTAGAGGCCTACGTCGGCCCCGCGCTCATCCCTTACGGCCCCGATCGGCCCCGCGCTCGTCCCTCACGGCCCCGATAGGCCCCGCGCTCGCCCTTAGCACCCACGTCGGCCCCGCGCTCGCCCTTAGCACCCACGTCGGCCCCGCGCTCGTCCCTCACGGCCCCACCCGCTCCCCGCGCTCGCCCTTAGCGGCCCCGAACGGCCCCACCCAGACCGAGCAGCCCGAACCGAGCCGACCCGAGCCGCCCAGCCCTAACGGAACCGAGCCGCCCGACCCGAGCCGCCAGCCCTAACCGACCCGAGCCGCCCGAACCGAGCCGCGCCGCCCGAACCGAGCCGCCCGAACCGAGCCGCGCCGCCCGACCCGAGCCGCGCCGCCCGACCCGAGCCGCGCCGCCCTACATATACCGAGCCGCGCCGCCCTACCTGTACCGAGCCGCGCCGCCCTACCTACTCCTACTGCTTTTCCTACTGCTGCTACCATGGCTAGCCCTCCTGTCCTAGCCTTCGATACTGAGGGTCGCCCAGTGAAGTTCGACACCTGGCTTGATGACCTACACCTCTTCCTACAGCTCACTGCCAAGGAAGACATCTCACTGTACGATCATGCCTTAGGCCACGCTACTGCTCCTGCTGCTACTGCTGACAGCACTGCCCGCTCACAGTGGCAGACTCGTGACGCCCATACTCGCTTCGCTATTCGCAACTCTCTGCCGATAGATGAGCGCGAGCACTTTGGGCAACACAAGACTGCACAGGCACTGTACACTGCTGTCGTTGCCCGCTACTCCTCGCCGGCCTCTGCCGCTCTAGGCCGTCTCTCTCTTCCCTACCTGTTCCCCGACCTAGCTTCCTTCCACACTGTCGCTGATCTTATTACCCACCTCCGCACTAGTGAGGCTCGCTTCCGCGCCGCTATGCCTGATGAGTTCCTTGCCAAGAACCCACCCCCGCTCTGGCTCACTCTCTACCACCTAGTCACGCGCCTCCCTGACACTCTGCGCTCAGTCAGGGACCACTTCCTAGCTCGCTGCCCCACCGAGCTCACCATTGCCCTCCTCGAGAAGGAACTGCTTGCAGCTGAGGCTAGCATAGTCGCTGTAGGTGCCTCTCGCGGTGACCCCCGTACCCCGTTCTTTGAGGGGTGTTCTCCCTCCCCCCTTCTTCCCTCTATCGCCTCTGCTGCTGCTGTCGACCTCCTTGGTGCTGAGAAGGTCGGGACTGCGTCTGCTTCGAGTGGGCGCCGCAGCGGCAAGGGCAAGGGGGGCAAGGGCGGTGGTGGTGACAGCGGGGGTGGCGGTGGTTGGGGAGGTGGTGGTGGCGGGGGGGGTGGCGCGGGTGGGGGAGGTGGCAGCAGTGGGGGGGGTGGCGGCAGCGGCGGGGGAGGTGGCCGGGGCGGAGGAGGTGGTGGGGGTGGCGGTGGACGGGGCAGCGGCCGGGGTTGGGGTGGTCGAGGAGGTGGTAGCGGCGGTGGTGGTCGTGGAGGCGCTGGCGGTGGCCAGAGCCAGCAGCACACTCCGTCGCCCCAGGAGGTCCGTGAGTGGTACTCTCAGCACGGGGGGGGGGGGGGGGGGGGGTGGCCTTAGCTGCACGTACGTCATTCGCACTGGTGACCGCACTGGCCAGCCGTGTGGGGGACCGCACGCCACACAGCGTTGCTTTGCTCGTCTGAACGACGCTTGGCGTGTTCAGTTCCCTCAGGCCACTGAGCTGCCCCGCAAGCTTGATCTCCTGAAGAAGGGGATTGATATTTACGCTCTAGACTTTGATGCTATTCTCACTGCCATGTATGTGATGTCTACTAGTGGAGAGGGTGCTGAGTACCTGAGTGTCCCGCCCGACCCGGGCATTAGGACTAGTGCGTCTCCCGCTCCAGGTACTCGCCTGTCCGCTACCCCAGGTGCTGGTGAGGCTGCTGCTCTAGGTGCGTGTACGTCTGCCCCCCCTAGTACTGTGTCGACTGCAGCACTGAACACCTTCACACTGGATTCAGGTGCCTCTCGCTGTTTCTTTCGTGACCGCACTGCCCTTGAGCCCCTTGCTCGGCCAGTTGCTGTCTCCCTCGCTGACCCCTCTGGGGGTCCGATCCTTGCGACCTCCTCCACTGTCCTTCCCTGTCCTGCGGTCCCGTCGGGCACACTGTCAGGTCTCCACCTCCCCTCGTTCTCAACGAACTTGGTGGCAGGTTGTGCACTACAGGACGCGGGTGTTCACCAGTTCACCCCTGCCTACGAGCGTGTCACACACTGCACGTGTGCCCGTACAGGCCGCCACTTGGCTACCTTCACCCGGCAGCCGGGGTCGGATCTGTACACACTGACTAGTGCCCCCCCTCAGGTCGCTGCGTCTGCGTCTGCGTCCGTGTCAGGTCAGCTGTCCGCCCCCTGCTCGTGTCGCTCTCTAGCGCACGAGACTGTCCTCTGGCACCACCGACTGGGCCACCCATCTATGCAGCGCCCTCGTGCCATGCACTCCCGGTACCTTGTCTCTGGTCTTCCCAGAGTCCTCCCTCCCCTCCCACCCTCGCCTGCTCCTCCCTGTCTTCCCTGTGTCGAGGGGCGGCAGCGCGCCGCTCCTCACTCCTCCTCGTTTCCCCCGACGACTGCTCCTTTGCAGACGCCCCACATGGACGTGTGGGGCCCAGCCCGCGTCCGTGGTCAGGGTCAGGAGAGGTACTTCCTGATCGTTGTTGACGACTACTCGCGCTACACCACGGTCTTCCCCTTGCGAGCCAAGGGTGAGGTCCCTGATGTTTTGATCCCTTGGATCCGCAGAGCTCGTCTCCAGCTCAGCGAGCGTTTCCGCTCGGACTTTCCTGTCCTGCGCTTGCACTCTGACAGAGGTGGTGAGTTCTCCTCCGACCTCTTGGCAGCCTACTGTGCTGAGCACGGCATTGAGCAGTCGTTCACGCTTCCGGCCTCTCCACAGCAGAATGGGGTTGCGGAGCGCCGCATTGGCCTGGTCATGGAGGTCGCTCGTACCTCCTTGATCCATGCGGCTGCCCCCCACTTTCTGTGGCCGTTTGCGGTCCGGTACGCTGCGCATCAGCTCAACCTCTGGCCCCGTGTCTCCTTGCCGGAGACCTCGCCCACACTGCTGTGGACGGGGGAGGTTGGCGATGCGTCACGTTTCCGGGTCTGGGGATCTCGAGCTTTTGTCCGCGATTCGTCTGTGGACAAGCTCTCCTCTCGTGCTGTTCCCTGCGTCTTCCTTGGCTTTGTTCCGGACGCGCCTGGTTGGCAGTTTTACCACGCCACCTCGCGCCGGGTCTTGCCCTCTCAGGACGTCACTTTTGACGAGTCTGTTCCCTACTACCGCCTCTTTCCCTACCGCACTGCCCCGCTCCCACCCCCGCCTCTCTTCCTCGCGCCAGGTGCTGCTGTCGTAGACCCCCTCCCCCCTCAGGGTGCCGCTCCCTCATGTGTGTCTCAGGTAGACCCGGTCGAGCCTGTTGAGGTTGCTGTCGACTCTCGTCCTGCTGGGGGTGCTGAGCCTGGGGGTGCGGAGACTGGGGGTGCTGAGCCTGGGGGTGCTGACTTTGGGGGTGCTGAGCCTGGGGGTGCGGACTCTGGGGGTGCTGAGCCTTGGGGTGCGGACACTTGGGGTACTGAGCCTGGGGGTGCTGAGCCTAGGGGTGCGGTGACCGGGGGTAATGAGCCTTGCGGTGCTGGGCCTGAGGGTGCTACACCTGGACGCGACCTCTCTTCGGAGCAGTTGCGTGAGTGGTACTTACAGTACTGCAGCCTCCGGAGTGTTACCTCTGGGACCAGGCGCACTACAGGGACTGGGGCTGGTACTTCTCCTCCTAGTCGGGAGCTCCCCTCTCGTGAGCGGATCCGTGAGTGGTACGAGCGCCGTTGCACACTTCGGAGTGGTGAGCCTCGTCTCACGGACCCGGCTGCCCCTGGTGCTACGGACCCGGGCGTTGGAGCAGCTGCTGGTGCTGCGGACCCTGGCGTTGGAGCTGCTGCTGGTGCTGCGGACCCGAGGGTTGGAGGTGCTGCTGGTGCTGAGGACCCGGGCGTTGGAGGTGCTGCTGGTGCTACGGACCCGGGCGTTGGAGCTGCTGCTGGTGCTGCGGACGTGAGGGTTGGTGGTGCTGCTGGTGCTGAGGACCCGGGCGTTGGGGCGGCGGCTGGTGCTGCGGACCCTGGCGTTGGAGCTGCGACTGGTGCTGTGGACCCTGGTGTCGGAGTCCCTGCTGGTGCTGAGGACCCGGGCGTTGGAGCTGCGGCAGGTGCTGTGGACCCTGGTGTTGGAGCCACTGCTGGTGCTGAGGACTTGGGCGTTGGTGCTGAGGCTAGTACTGAGGACCTGGGCGTTGGAGCTGCTGCTGGTACTGGTACTGCCGCTGGGGGTACAGGTGTTGTCCCTACTGTGTCTGGAGTCTCCGCGCGCCCTCAGCCATACTTCGTTCCACTCCTTTAGCAGGTTCTTGGTCTCTCGCCTCCTCCTGGTCCTCCTCCCTTAGCGTGTTCGCAGCCTGTCCCGTCACAGTTACAGTTGCAGCCGGCCTCCCCACTACCTGCTCCTTCTCCATACACTGGTCCTACTGGCGGTCTTACTGAGCATCGTGAGTCTGCGTCTCGTCCTGCGTCGCCTGTCCGTCCTTCTAGCGCTAGTGCTCGTAGTTCGCGCCAGCGTCCTCCTCCTGCCCCTGGCACGCATCGGATGTCTCTACGTCCGTCTACTGCTCCTCTGCGTGCCCCTTTGCCTTCTCCTCCTGCGTCCTCTCTTCCTGCTCTCGCCGACCCGGAGTCGGACTCTCTTCGTGCTGCCAATTCTACTGTCACGCGTCTCCTTGCTACTGTTGTCACTGACCCTTCTTTCGAGTCTACTGCTGCGTCTGCTCTCGTTACTGAGCTCGTCGACTTTGCTGCTCGCTGTCGCCTAGACTACGCTGCTTGTCTTGTCGCTGATTCTGAGTCTGTCTGTCCTCCGTCCGTCGGGGGTGAGTGTGCCCTTGGCACGGACGTCCTTGAGGACAGGCAGGAGGAGTTCCAATGTCTGGCAGCTGCTTCACCTCATCTCGTGTCCGTACTGCTTACCCCTGAGGGAGACCCGGATGCACTTGACATCCCGACTCCGCGCTCTTACGCGGAGGCGATAGAGGGTCCCTACTCCTCTCAGTGGCAGGCAGCTATGGATGCAGAGATGGCTTCCTGGAAGTCCACAGGCACCTACGTTGACGCTGTCCCCCCTCCTGGGGCGAACATCGTCAGTGGCATGTGGATCTTCAGGGTGAAGCGGCCGCCGGGTTCTCCGCCTGTCTTCAAGGCGCGTTACGTGGCTCGTGGCTTCAGTCAGCGACAGGGAGTGGACTACTTTCAGACCTTCTCCCCCACCCCGAAGATGACCACTCTTCGAGTACTGCTGCACATTGCTGCTCACCGTGACTACGAGCTGCACTCTCTCGACTTCAGCACTGCTTTCTTGCAGGGCAGCCTGCACGAGGAGATCTGGCTGCGCCGCCCACCTGGCTTCACTATGTCTTTCCCTTCTGGTACCTAGTGGAGTCTCCGGCGTCCAGTCTACGGTCTCCGCCAGGCGCCACGTGAGTGGCACGACACACTGAGGACTACACTTGCGGCTCTTGGGTTTGCTCCGTCTACTGCCGACCCGTCGCTGTTTCTGCGCACCGACACCTCTCTGCCGCCATTCTACATCCTCGTGTACGTCGACGACTTGGTCTTTGCCACAGCTGACACTACTGGACTCGCCTACGTGAAGTCCGAGCTGCAGAAGAGACACACGTGCACTGACCTGGGTGAACTGCGCAGCTACCTTGGCTTGCAGATCACCCGGGACAGAGCACGCCGCACCATTACCCTGACTCAGTCACACATGGTGCAGCAGGTCCTTCAGCGCTTCGGCTTCACGTACTCCTCGCCTCAGGCCACTCCTCTGTCTACTCGCCACTCGCTCTCAGCTCTGTCTTCGGATGAGTCCGTAGAGTCCAGTGGCCCGTATCCAGAGCTTGTTGGCTATCTCATGTACCTGATGACCTGCACACGACCTGACCTTGCATACCCTCTTAGCATTCTTGCACGCTATGTTGCTCCTGGGAGACACCAACCAGAGCACATGGCTGCAGCGAAGAGGGTGTTGCGCTACTTGTGCAGTACGTCGGGCATGGGGCTAGTGCTTGGAGGGCGGAGTCCAGTGGTCCTCACTGGACACGCAGACGCTTCTTGGGCTGACGACCAGGCTACGCAGCGGTCGTCACAGGGTTACACCTTCAGCCTTGGTTCCGGCTCTGTTTCGTGGCGGGCTACTCGCTTGTCTTCTGTTCTTGGCTCCAGTTGTGAGGCTGAGATCTACGCAGGGGCCATGGCTGCTCAGGAGCTTCGCTGGCTCACCTACCTGCTGACCGACCTTGGAGAGCCGCCTCGTTCTCCTCCAGTCCTGTACGTCGACAACAAGGCCATGCTGGCCTTGTGTCGGGAGCAGAGACTGGAGCACAGAACAAAGCACATTGCTCTCCGCTACTTCCTTGCTCGTGAGCTACAGCAGCGTGGTCAGTTGCGACTTGCGTACGTGGCCTCTGAGGCCAACACTGCTGATGTCTTCACCAAGGCCCTTCCGCCTTGTGATCATCAGCGCTGCTGTACCCAGCTGGGTCTTGTGTCTGTCTTGCCTCGCTTGCTCTCCTCTTGACCCTCTTTGTACTGTTACATATATATATCACTGCTCTTGCTTGTTTAGTCTTATATATATATCTGTACTCCTGCATGTGAACTGGCCTTGTGGCCTTGCACTTGTGCTTGGATTGTGTGGTGACGTTGTGATCCACCTTGAGCTTGCTTTGTTTTGCTTTACTTGACTGGTCTTGTGACCCCTAGTTCTCCCCCACTTCGCCCATGGGGGTGTGTCAAACATTGTATATGTTGTTGTAGTTGTTTAGGCTACAGTGGGTTAGCCTATAGGGGGTACACATTCCTAGGTTTTCATACTTGTACTCATTTTCACTCTTAGTTCATTCATTCTTGTTCAACAGCAGCTTCATGCGAGCTTGCTCCGAGGCAGATACGTGCTCGAAGCGATCTCGTAAGGCTGCGCCCCACTCCTTCCACGTGCGTATCGTGGTCACTCCGAAGATTGATTATGCCACCTGATTAGTCACTGTTGAGGTCCCGTCTGCCGCATGCGTCACACCTGTCGGCATCCTTGTTTCCAAGGTTCGGCGCCACCACTCAAGCGCTGCACCTCGAAGAAGCGAAACCGCGTAATTAATACGCGTGGCGTCGTCATTAACTCCGGCTGCAGTAAAAAGGACCTCGACTCCGGACAGCCACCCTTTTACCGTAACCGTCTGTCCGTAGGATTAAACTGGGGCGGGTTAACGGGCTTGATCTTGATCGTCGTTACTGCAACTGGCGCTGCTGCCGCTCGCTGCCTGTCCTCCTCTTTGAAGTCACGTGTGAGCGCATCCAGCGGATTGCTCATCGCCTAACTGATGCCCTCGCCTTCGTCCACAGGCGACTCCTGACGCGCTTCACCTCGCGTCTGGCGTAGCTCGGCGTTATCCTCTCGCAGTGTTGTCACTTCCGCCATTAATGTTTTCAGGCTCTCCTGCATTTCTCCCACTTGCGCCATCACCCTGTTAACCGCCTTCTGATCCATGTGCTTAGTGAGAAGAAACGAGGAATGAAAAGGACTAAGGGAAAGTTGGGTACAAGTACAAATCCTACAAAGATGTACCCCATATGTGCTACCCCATTATAGCCTACAGTAGCTATGTCATATAAATCTGACACACCCCCATAGGCAAAGTGGGGGAGAACAAGGGGTCACAAGACCAGTCAAGCAAAGCAAAGCAAGCTTAGGGTGGATCACAAAGTCACCACACATTCCGAGCACAAGTTCAAGGCCACGAGGCCAGTTCACATGCAGGATTACACATATATATAAGGCTAGACAAGCAAGAGCAGGTGTATATATATATGCAACAGTACAAACAAGGTCAAGGGGTGAGCAAGTGAGGCAAGG